CTGCACTCCCCGCTGTGTACAGCCCTGTTTTAAATCTTATCTGCTATTATAATAAGTGATGAAATATTTCAATTGTCCCATGTCATCTTCATTATTCAATTTCTTTCAAGAAAATACAAAATGTGAATCAATTTTTTTCGCAGATACATGTACGCATCGCGTAACTATTTTTGTGTTTGCTGTTGATATTGGTTGCTGACATTTGAATTACATTTAGAAAGTTTATTTGAAAACTACCTCAAAACCAACTTGTTTCACAGGGTCTTACCTCCGCCACGCCCCCCAAACAAATGCTCCGGCAAGACCCTGTTCGGATATGGTCACGTGACATCCCAGATTTTGGAATGTAGCGTAATTTGTCGTTAGGGTAGTTACGTGTGGCAGAGTGATTAACAAGAATCATTTCTAAAGACAATAGAACTTGTCAATTTAGTTAATATCGCATTTGGCCGTTTTTGAAGTTCTATATTTGAAATGAAACCAACAATCCGAAAAAACGTTATATGTGATATGGTTCACGGCATTTAGACCACAGGGGGCAGAAAAGTACGATTGTGTTTTATAAATACCTTGTCATTGGCCAATATCGCATATATATATCACAACAATTCCCAGACAAAGTCGTAAAAGGATCAAAATTAGCTGATTTTTATATTTTCGATAATGTCATGCCTTCTACTTTATGTAATTCAAACATCATTGCATTGCAACGACAATAATAATTTCCGAACATCTTACGAAAGGATGCCGAGGGTGTAGCCCGTACATAAATAAGAAAAGATGAAACGCCGAAAATCTTTTGTTCAATGTGCACCGCAACAGATGGTGATGGAAGTAAATTCGACATTGTAACCGGAAGTAGAAGGGAAGTTGAAGGAAAATTGACCTATCATCTTCCATGACCTTTTAATCGAATTAACGGTTAATAATTTGAATGACAATAACAAATTTTAAAAAAAAGCAACACACGCTCTTGTATCTAGAGGGTATAAAGCTTTTCAGTAATTTTAAAACAATCATTCTTGAATCGATCGACCGTACGCTAATATATCCACGACTTTGAACTTTGTTTAATATGACTGTATAAATCCAAACGGCAGTCTTTACAAAACCGGTCACGGTTTAAACTCGTCTTCGCCGTGTGTGCAGACTTAAGATATATCAATAGACTATTTAAATTCACTAAATAAACTACATGCACTTATGGGGCGAAAAAAATGGCAGTAAATTTAAATAAACTCTGAAACGGTTTCGTTATTATTCGGTTAATATAGACCTTTTTGTAGTATAAATACCAGTGCATTTTGAGCCTGTAATATATTATATATGATTAATAATATGAATCAGTTGGAAAAATAGTTTTCGTCATGCGCAATATCTTTTAAGTGCGTAACTACGTCACTTCCGTCACCATCTGTCACGTTGAAACAAAATAAGCCAAAATTGTAGTCCAAAAACTTTTGATTTAATAGCCGTTTTTAAAAATTTCCTTGTACAGGTATGCTAAGTGTATCATATCTAAACTGTACACAAAAAATAAAAGGTTTTGGTTCGGAAACACGCCATTTTTATCCATTCGAAATATTTCACGATCGGGGGTTTCATCCCTTTCTATTATTTGTACGTTTAAGCAAAGTCAGTCGTTCTAGTATGAGCCCACGCTACTATGGTCAGTCCTTGTAATACAATGTTTGAATTACATGAAGTAGTAGGCATGATATTATCGAAAAAATTTTTAAATCAACATAATTTTCATCGTGATGAACCTGGATTAAACTATGCGATATATTGGTTGATGACAAGGTATTTTGAATAAACATAATCGCACTTTTCTGCCCCCTGTGTTTAGACCAGTGATCAGTAGGCTTTTGTTGTGGTCTGTTTGACTGTTTCTAAATATATGTGATTTGTGATCACTATCGCTGTGATATTAATAATATAAAGTCCATTGTGATTTAACCGTTCTTCGTATATAAATAATATAGCGCAGATCAGATGTATATTTGTCAAAATATTAAAAATGAACACATTTTAGTGTATTTAGTAAAAAAGCTTACCAACTAATCAACTATGAACTCTCACCTTTATATAAATTGAAAATATGCAGTGCAACGGTACGCGTTTATATATATTTTAACGACTTGGCACGATGTTTAGTTTTGTGTATAATAAATGTTCGCATATTATATCACTTATTGGTATACGCGTCTCAATTCATACAGATGTTTGACACATTTGCATTGGTTCTGTTATACGTAGCCGTAGGCTTTATGTCAATCCCGTTTCAAAATATTTACATGTTGGTTTTGTTATATGTGTTGGCTCTAATGCCTTCATATTACATGCTTAAATTATATAACTCTAAATCACTGCACATGACTTTTATGAATTATGACCTTACACCAAAGTATAGACAAAGTACAACATAGTTGCATATAGCGCAAGAAAATTCATCCACATCACGTCATGTTTGTGAGAAACTCTTTAGTTATTGAATTATTGTAAACGATGAAACCGATATCGGTTTTAACTAAAAAGAGCAATAGTGGCACTTCGCGACAGAAAGCATATATTTTAGTATATTACGAGAATCAACTGGTAATGACGTTTTCAAATTAGCTATAACTATTTCTTCAATAATTATATTAAAATTGATTAAGAAAGGAGCGTACAAGTGCTCGGAAAATTTGGGCTTCGAATTGTTACTTTGAGTCCATTGAAGAATATGATTTTGTTCATCAGTTAGCGTATTTCTGATAAAAACTCTAAACTTTCTAATCTACTACATAAAGGATTGTTGAATCATCCATTCATCCTCAAACAAAACAAAGCATTAAGCCTGTTTTCCACTTCAACCGCATCGTAACGTGCCGTAGTATTTTCCGTTTGTGTCGAAGTCATTAGTTCCACATTTCTGCCCAGGAAACAAAGAAATACGCTACGTTTCGGTACGATTGAAGTGGAAAACTGACTTTAGGCATACAGTTCATGCACCACGTTCTGGGCTAGGTAATTATTTAATATACACAAGAAACAGTAGAGGGCAAACCATAAAGTGTTTAGAACGATTTTTTACTCACCAATAATTTTAGTGATAATT